AGTTATTCGAGGATAATACATTAAAAAGTTCGAGGTATCTTTAAAAAGTTTGACTGTATTTTTAATTAATTATTTGCTTGGAGTATATTAGTTATTAGTTATTATTTATTAGAACGAATTACATTATTTAAATTTAAATATTTGTGCCTAAACCTGCTAACTAAATTTAAATAATAATAATTTTTTTTCAAGTAAATGAAGATTGTTCTAGTTATCTAGTTTTCGCTATCAGTAAAATGTTGTAGACATTTAAAATCATTTAAAATATTATTAATTATTTAAATATATGCCGTCGATTAACTGGCAAAATCTGACATASTTATTAAATTCATGCAAATTAGTTTATAAGGGATCTCACCCAAAGTAATCTTTATCATAATCCATGCCCCATGACATGTGTTGGTGATACATAATGATACCTATACGTATTACACAATATCTCCATATTCATGTCTGTTTAATTTATGGTGTCACTTCCATTTTTTATGCCTTTTTGACAGTCAATAATCAACAGGATAACCGCATTACAGCTATGAAATTTAGATGTTTTGGATAATTCAAATTTTATAATCTTACACTAATCATTACAGGATTGTAGTATTACAAGTGTGAAAACGTTAATTGATGACCGCTTGTTCATACATCACCTTTTMTTTATTAATTTAATTCTTAGTAGCGCTGTGAGTGCTGATAAGTAGTCCGTGTTTAGGTATAAATTATCAAACAACATTAAATTGATTAGAGGATATTTTTTCTAAGTTTTAACATTATTTAAGATTGTTTTCATTCATAATAACTCGTTAAAACATTAGTTAATAACATATGAGTCTAATAAAATTGCCTGAAAATTTTAATCATGATAATACATAGCAATACATAATAAATCACACGATAAATGGTGAATATTGATAGATATATAACGGTTAAGTGAGGTATTGTCTACTATAAGAGCTAACGAGTCTTTATATTGAGTTATGATGGATATTATCTTGAACTTTTCAAACGTTACATTTTAATTTGCTTTCAGGCATTTTGGCGAACCAATTAAAATTAACAAGTGTCTTGTGTAATGGAAAAATGATGCTTGGGGGATGGGGTCGAAGTCCTGGGAGCAGTGGATCCGTCCCGCCGTCAGGACAACGTACCGGTCACCGACTATTGCCATTGCCGTTCAACAGAACTGGAGGCGGCAATGGAAGCGGCGGAAGCGGTGGTAGAGCGGCCGAAGCTGAAGATGTCATGGGGCATTATGGACGAACTAAGGGCGGAGTAAATAAAATAAGAACTGGATTGTATTATTCTCCACCCGGTACATCTTATACCATACTCGAAAAGCCTCCAGCAGCCTCACCACCACCTCCGCCACCAAGAGCAACATATCTACGAGAGTCGTCAGCTGGCGTATCTGGACCAAATCACCCAGGTAATTATTAATGTTAGTAGATTTATACATTTTTGATTCTAAAATTAAATTAAGAAAACTATATATAACCTTAAACTATGTATTTTCGTTTGTAAAAAMMYTTTGTTGTACCATTAAGATCGTCTTATATTTATTAATTTCAAATTTAATATGAAAAATACTTTGGATTAAAATTTGAAAAATTCTTGATTGTTTTTTAAAATTATATAACAAAACGTATCGACATTTTAGTTGATATAATACGTCAACTTTGCATGTTTGAAAATAATTTGAAGGAAATATAGCTTATACATATTTGACTGCTGTAGATTAGACGCATTTGCTTTGAATCGCATGCCAAACATTTTTAAAATGATTACATTATTTTTAATATATCTGTAATGATGCAAAAATTTAATAAAAATATTTTATTTATTATTTAATACTCAGATCATGCTGATCATAGATCTAACATATATAGTATATACCTACTGTATAATTGCATGAATACAAAAATACAAATTATGATTGTATTGTCACAACAAGGGTCTATAGTATACCTTTTAAGTTTTATATTTATTCTTCTTAATTTAGTACTTCTAAGATTAAATTATTATAAATTATGCTCCTAAACGTTTGGACTATTATTTATATTAAATATATTGTTGTTCCTAATGTGATGTGTACATATTATCAAAGATAATACCAKTAATGTAAATTAAATATAGCTTAGCAGTATTATCACATAACAAATTTACCCAAAGTTWMTATACAGAATATGACAATACAAGTAGTGCAGTTTTGAAAGTATTTTTTTTAAAAATGACACAACTTATAGAAATGAGGTTTATTTAATTTTTTTTCAGTACATCATGCCGTTTTATATGTGTTAAGTTTTAAAAATGACATCAAAATGATGATGGCGGCCAGCAGCGATACATATTGATGAAGGCAATTTAAGTTTTCGGTCGCATTTTGACACATTTCGACTGGTATAGCACCGATTCCCTCCCGATTTCGCTCCTTGAGTTCTTCCAAGGCAAGAGGCTGATTTTAGATTCTGAACGAAGTGATGAATGTATTGATTTTACAATGATGTGTGTTTTTTTTTTTGTGTGTCTGTGTACAGCATAACTAGTCGAAATAATGCTTCGATTTCAAACTTTGGGGGTGGTTTCC